TTTCAATCTTGTCCCAAGGAAAGCCATCTAAGTGTGGCTAAGAAAATCTTAAGATACCTCAAGGGAACACAAAGTGTTAGACTTTGCACTAGTACAAAATGAGCCATGCGCGTCTTTACTATTTGACAATACGCGTCTTTACTAGTAAAGACGCGTATGGCGCAGACACGGAAGGTGGCAACTTTACGCGTCTTTACTCTGAAGCCGCGTAAACATGAATTATACGCGTCTTTACTAGCAAAGTAAAGATGCGTATACTGTGTAACAAATTAAAAAAAAACAATAGTCGTCTTTAAGACGCCTATTGTTATATTTTTTTAAAAATAATTAAATTTTATTCATTTCAACATAAAATTCAATTATCCAATCATTTATATAATTCGAATCATTAAACACAAAATATAATAAAATTGTTCAGCACAATATATATAATCCAACATAAATATTGACTAATTGGAAAGGTCAACCTTGAATCTGATACCACTACAAAAAATATTTTTAAAAAAATGATGAGATTCATTAAGAATGGAACACTTCATTCTTGATCTAAAACTACAATTAAAGATTACTTACTCTAAACAAGATAATGCTGTGACATGTGTATTCTTACAAATAGCTTAAACTTTAATTGGAGTTGGAACACATACTTTAGTCAAAATTACTAAATGAGTATATGATAGAGTAAAATAACCATACCAACATTAAAAGCTTGTTTGCTCCATCAGATATAGCAGCAGCCAGCAAGGCTGTCATATTGTTCAGGACCAAAATCATTTAAGGCAGATGTGAGATATTCTCCAGCTAGGTTCTCTTAATATAGTTTGCCCTTGGGTGATGGACTTGACACCTGAATCACAAAGCATCCTAATGAGATTTAGGAATGACAGTATTTTGGTGAGACTACAAGAACCGACACCAAACCAAGCATAACTCTAATTGAGTAATAAAGCTATCCACCAGGGCACCAATCAGTGAAAGCAATTAGTATGGAATTATCATTTTTTTTCTAATTAGTAGAAAGAATATAATCATCAAGGCACTAAGGGAGAACCAACCTAAATAGTACCTGATTTACATCTGGCCTCTAAACAAACTATACAAGCTTAAGCCCATCTAAGAAAGTATTAGGTACAGATTTATCATAAAAAAAAAATATATAACTAACTTTTCTGAGTACCTGTAAACATAAATACTAAACAGAGTTACAGAGACGGAATGTTTTCTTGATTTGAGTACATGTAAACAAAGACGACAACAATAATACAAAGTAATAACAATCACAAAAATTGGAAGGATTTAGAAAAACTGAAATTACCATGCAAACAATACTCCTATATGGCTATATTCCAAAGTGTATAACAGAAATATAAATAGCATTTTCACAGAAAAGCATAAAATGATAGCTCCGACTAAAAGCATTTTCACAGAAAGCATAAAGAAACCAGTTAAGGATAATCGGTTGGGAAACATCCTCAAACTTCACTGCAATTTTCCTAAGTCCATGAGGAACTTCTTTTCCATTAAATTTTTGTAAGCAGCAAAAGCATTAATAATTATATAACTATCCAGGATTCATCCATAAACGCAAAAACATTAATAATTAAAGCACCAAAACCACAGACAATTGACAAACGTAAATAAAGAATGGTTTGACAGTTTGCAAAACTCACAAATACATGCTAAAAATAGATGTAAATGATTAAATTTTGAAAGAAACTGACTAACCTTCAAACATTTCTTCTCTTCTATGCTAGAAATCACAGCTTTTCATCACAACCACTACCTCTATCGCCATGTTCTTCCCCTTTGACTCTTTGAGTGCTTGAGTTTTTCAAGTATAACACTTTTTCCTTGCTATTTCCATTTTCTTTAGGGAATCTTATAGCATCCTTGCTGCCACTGGCGACAGAAATTGCTTCTCCTTCCTCTGTCAATATATTAAATCCCCCGTGTCCTTAAATTGAATAATCAAATATTAGACCGTAAAGAGCAACTACATCTGTTTTATATGCTTGTTTGTAACTTTTGTACCAAACTATGCACTATGCTTCAATTAAATCCCTCTGGCAAAAGATTAATGGAATTTTCTTCCCATTTTGCAGAAAATGGCACTGCAAATTTCTAAACATTAATACATTTAAAAATAAATCCCCAAAATTCAAAAGGGATAATTCTCATGTATTCTTATAACTCCCTCATCCTTTTGTTTTATTTTTATTTTTCATTAAGCATCTCAAATACTTGGAAATTTTCCCTCTTTGCAAATCAAATTACAAAGTAGTACTATGCTCTATTTTCCAGTATGCATGCCTATGAAAATGTTTACTAGAATTCAACAAAAGGTTGAAAAACAAGAATGAACATACTCACTTCAAGATTTCAGGAAAACAACCTGAACTAAACTGGAAAGAGTAGAACTTTTGTGCAATTTTTTGTTGAGCAAGAGAGAAATTTTTGGGCACTTCTCACTGGGATTTTTTATTTCTACATCCTCCCATTTGACCTGAAATTTTGAAAGAGAAGATGAAACAACTAATGCCCAAATACATAATATATTTGAAAACTTTAGTTCTTTTCAGCAAAATAATGATAAGATATGCAATAAAACCAAATTCCAATACCGAATAGAAGTGCGGAAGAGGAAAGTTAAGGAATGGAGTGCTGCCCCACTGTGCAGATTGAAGATTTCTTCGAGTTCATCCTTCTGGGAGAATTATACACGGAAACCGCAGCTAGAAGAGGGAGCCACTCGAGCCCATCCTTCAGGGTGTTTGCCATCGCAAATTAAATTTAAAAAAAAAAAAAAAAATATATATATATATATATATATATATATATATATATGTGTGTGTGTGTGTGTGTGTGTGTGTGTGTGTGTGTCTATATATATATATATATATATATATATATATATATATATATATATATATATATATATATATAGAGGATGTATGTATGTAGATCAAGTGAAGAGGTTGCTTGGTTGGAGATAAATGTATGCAACAAACATACCTCTTGAGAGCTCAGATCTGGCGGCCGAGCTTTCTTCTTCGATGGAGCGGCGACCGTGTGGCAGTGGCGGAACAACGACGTGAGATCAGATCTGGTGGAATGGCTGAGCTTTTGCGCTACTCCGGAGTTTCTTCTTCTTCTTCTTCGATGGAGCGGGGTGGCGGTGGTGGAACGACGGCTGTGAGATCAGATCTGGTGGAATAGCCGAGCTTTCGAGCAACTTCGGGCTTTCTTCTTCGAAGAGTGAAGAGAATATGAGTACGTTGGTCGTAAATCCAAAGAAGAAGAAGGAATAAGCTAGCTAGCTGGAGTACGTTGGTCGTCGAAAGCTCGTCGTACTATGGTCGCAGATCTGAAGGTCGCACCGCAAATGCAGTCGGAGAAGTACGAAGCCTGAAGTCGTCACCGCCGCTGCCGGAGCTACTATTGTCGAAGCTCGAAACTCACCGTACGTTTTTCGCAGATCCAAGGGAGGAAGAAAGAAGAAGGAATGATGATGAAGCTCAGAAGATGAAGAAGCAAGACTTAAGAATACGTAAGACTGTACAAATCTTGAGTAAATATATCAGTATAATAAATTTAAAAGAATAAATTAATTTTAATATACAAACTATACAAGTCTTGATTAACATACCAAGTAGTGTATACTTCAATACTAAAAATAAAAAAAATAAAAGCGCACTACACGCGTCTTACTATAGTAAAAATGGAGCGTGGAGTTTGTAACATATTTACAAAAATGCCACCATATTATTTTTCCTGTGTTTTACGCGTCTTTAGTTGTAAAGTAAAGACGTGTATTGTTGCATTTTTTTGGTCAATTCTCTACTAGTGTTGGTACCCAAAAGGAGGATTTTTTGACCTAGTTGGATATTCAGATGCTGATTTTGCTGGTTGTCGAATTGACCGAAAGAGTACCTCTGGAACATGTCAGTTCTTAGAGGGAAGACTCGTGTCTTGGTTCAACAAAAAGCAAAACTCCATTTCCACAAGTACTGCTGAAGCTGAATATATAGCAGCGGGGAGTTGTTGCGCTCAAATTTTATGGATGATAAAATAATTGAAATATTATGGTATAAGTGCACGAGATGTGTCCATCGAATGTGATAATACGAGTGCTATTGCTATTACTCACAATCCAGTGTTACATTCACGAACCAATCACATTGATATCAAATATCATTCTATTCACGACTGTTAGTGTTTTTAATTGTTCAAAAATCCCAACTTATAATGGCAATATTATTATGGCATACTAAGATAGGATTAGTTCAGTGTATGTTTTGTTCCACAGAGGACTGATCAATCAGATTCAACAACAGAAGGACTGACACTGAAGATCTGTTTTAGGAAGCTGTTTTCCTAAATGCTGTACGCGGTTTTACAGAAGTCAGATTTGGAAAGAAGATCAGCGTATCTGCTTCGGAAAGGTATGGACCGAATCCTTAAGATTACATTATTCAAATATCGTCCTACCATCTACAATCAAAGACATCTATGGAAGGAGTGTTCTTTTGACGGAACTATAAGTATCCTCATTCGAAGAGAATTAGGGTTACGTCTTTGAGAAAGAAGAAAACACTTCACATCAGTTTGATGAGATCAGATCTTTGATTATCATGCCTCTTCTCAATACAACATGTTCATGGTGATTAAGATGACGAACTTGAGAAGAATCACTGCTGCTTAAACGAAAGGACACTGTGATCACACTGTTGTGGGAACAACTGTAAAGAGCGTCATTGAAGTGGACTGCATCAGAGTGGGCTCTCCAAGTGAAGGGATTTCATTGGACTTCTGTATGCATGGCTCTCCATCTTCAACAATCCCCAAACCTGTATAGACTGGGTATGTACCTTGTGTGGGGCACCTGGGTAAGATTATTGTATATCTACCTTTGTACATTGGATTATGATTTAGTGGATTGGACGCCTATGTGATCGTCCCCCAGACGTAGATACACGCTGTATCGAACTGGGTAAACATTCTGTGTTGTTGGCTTTGTGGTGTTATCTTTTCTTTAATCTTCACTATGATTTGCTATTACTGATTGAATTCATCGCTGAATCAGTCAGTCCATTTAGTCAGTTGATTAATCCAGTTAATCTGTTTAAAAAGAGAAAATGCAAAATTACATGTGGTATCAGAGCTTTTAAGTCTACATAGTGACTTGATCCGTACGGGTTGTTTTAGTTTTGCATTGTACTCTGTCTTTTGGAAGTGCCTCTGTGTGTGTTCGTTGGCTGGTTGCTTTTGTTCAAGATGGATGCGAGTATGAAACCACCAGAACTAGATGGTCACAACTACTCATTCTGGAAGGCTCGTATGGAGATATACCTCCATGCACAAGGTACCAGGGTTTATCGTACTGTCCTAACTTGGTGAGCCGTCCAACTGTTCAGAATAAGGATGGAACCACTGGAGATAAGCCCATGGAGACTTGGACAGACGATGAAATGAATGCCTCTGATTTAAACAACAAAGCTTTGAACTCGATTGTAGGATCTCTACATGAATCGGTTTTTACTCTTGTCACCGGAGTAAAAGAAGCTAAACGTGTATGGGAAATTCTTGAAACCAGATTTGAGGGAACCAGTGATGTCAAGTAGTCAAAGCTACAAATGGTACTGTCAAAATTCGAAGCCCTTAGAATGAATGAATGAAGAAAAAACCATTTCGACCTTTCACAGTCGGGTTCAGAATCTGATGAACAGAGCCTCAATTCTTGGTGAACCTTTCACTGATGAGAGAGTAGTCAAAAAGATCCTTCGATCTTTGCCTAAACGCTTCCGGATGAAAGTAACTGCTATTCAGGAACACACAGGCTGGGAAAAGAAGACTGTCGGAGAACTTATGGGAAGTTTACACACATATGAACTAGAAGTGCTTGCTGATGATGATCTTGCAAGCAACAGAAAAGGAAAGTCAGTGGCTTTTGTAGCTGAGGCTGATCGAGAATCTGACACAGACGACATAGATGATGAAACTTTAGCCCTTCTAACCAAGAATTTCAAGAAAATATTAAAAGGTTTCAACAGAAAGAGTCAAGGTCAGCCCACCAGAACGCAATATAAAGGCAATAACTCCTCATATCAGAAAGCCGAAATAACGCCTTTTTCACAGAACAATCAATCTCAGACTGGTCGAACAAGACAGAACAGAAACAGTTCCACAGATACAGTGAAGTCCCTCAACCGGTCAGTGTAGTGTAGAGAATGTGAAGGGTATGGTCACATACAGGCTGAATGTGCAACGTATCTCAAGAGGAAAAAGGCTATGTCAGTAGCTACATTAAGCGATGATGAGGAGGAAACATCCAATGATCAGTCAGATGATAATGTGGGAAACTTTGTAGCCTTCTTTACAGCTATAGACATTCAGTCAGACGGAAACCAATCAGATGAAGAATCTTACATATCAACTGATGATTTTGAAGAGAGACATACTCAACTTGAAATAGAATTTGCTAAACTTGTTGCAAGCTGGGAACAACTAGTGAAAGTCAATAAAAATCTGAATGATGAACTGAAGCAAAGGGATGATCTTCTAAAGAAACTGAATACAGATCTTGTCATAAAAGAAGATCTCATCACTTAGATAAGATCTAGAGAAGGAAAACTGATAAAGAACTGGAGGGTCTGAAGAAAAATATCCAGATGATGGACATCACATCAACCTTAGACAAGATTCTAGACTCTGGCAGAAATCCTAATGACAAAAAAGGACTAGGATTTGAACGGGGTGAATCTTCGAATAATGCACCTAGGTTTGTCAAAGAAGGTGTGTTAAAGATCATAGCAGTTCACAGCTTTGAACAAGGACAGTCATCTCGTTCAGTGCAGAAAATTGACAAGAGAAGAAGATATGATCAGACTGCAGATACTGACCTTGCCAAAGTAAAGCATCAATTTCATTATGCAAAGTTCAAAAATAAGCTTGTCAAAGTTAGACAGTACACTCCCATCTGTCACTACTGCCAAACAAAAGGTCATACTCGGCCTGAATGTTATTTTTTCTACAGAGACCAAAGGAAAGAAAAATATCAGAACAAGACTATTACACCGTTCACTTGACAAGTTTGGGTCAGAAAGTCAGAAGTTATATGCTACCCCACTATAGTTCTGACTGCATCTACAACTGAAGCTAGATGGTATTTCGACAGTGGCTGTTCCAGACATATGACAGGAAATGTAAAGTGTCTGATGGCGGTTCAACCTAGCAGTGGAGCTGTAACATATGGGGATGGACAAAAAGGGAAAATTGTTGGAAAAGGTACCCTGAATGTACCAGGTCTACCTCAATTAGAAGAAGTTCTGTTAGTCAGTGGGTTGAAAGCTAATCTAATTAGCATCAGTCAGTTGTGTGATCCAAATTGGAATGTGTGCTTCGATCGTAACTGCTGCAGAGTTAGTGACAAAGAAAATCAACTTGTCATGGAAGGAAACCGGTCCTCAGACAATTGTTATGTTTTGGCAAATGAAACTGCATGTCATCTATCCAAATCTGATGAATCAAAACTTTGGCATAGACGACTGGTCACGTAAACTTCAGAGATATGGATAAGCTGATAAAACTGGAAGCTGTGAAAGGTGTTCCTAAGATCAGAATAGATCTGGATAAAGTTTGTGGTGCTTGTGCTATTGGGAAACAAATCAGAACTCCGCACAAAGCATTAAGAGGCATCACCACTGAGAAGTGTCTAGATCTAGTTCACATAGACCTCATGGGGCCAACACAGACTGAAAGCATTGGGGGAAAGAAATACATATTTGTGTGTGTAGATGATTTCTCACGATACAGCTGGGTATACTTTCTAAGAGAAAAATCAGAAGCCTTCAAGGCCTTTAAAACTCTGTGCATAAGCGTTCAGAAGGAAAAGAATGAGTCTATAATAAAAGTTCAGAGACTGAGGAGTGATCATGGAAAAGAATTTGAGAATTCACTATATTCAGATTTCTGCTCCGAACACGGTATATCACATGAGTTCTCAGCTCCCAGAACAGCTCAACAGAATGGTGTGGTGGAAAGAAAGAATCGAACATTACAAGAAATGGCTAGAGTTATGCTACATGCCTCTCATCTGCCGCAGCGCTTCTGGGCTAAAGCAGTACACACTGCTTGTCATACTGTAAATAGAGTCTATCTTAGACCAGGAACGACCAAAACACCATATGAGATCTGGAAGGGAAAGAAGCCCAACCTGAAATACTTTCATGTGTTCGGGACAAAGTGTTATGTGCTGGCTCTTATATGGCTTGAAACCACAACTGTATATGAAGCAACAAGACTTGAGACGATACAACGAGTCTACTCATACAAGTTAACCAACAAAAGTCTTGCGAAAGGAAAATCTCTAACCATTGATTTTGATATCAAGAAACCATCTCTTGATAAAGCCACTGAAGAATAATTGAAAGCTCTGCAAGATGTCATGCGGCTATGTAAGATCAATGATGAGCTTGATAGATTGCACAGAAATGATCCCAAAGCAAGTATGAGTCATGCGCCATAGCCTGATCAAATTTCAAGCCCTCCAGAAGATGATGAAAATGATGAAGATGATGAAAATGATCACGATAACTCAAATCGAAGTAATCATTACGATGATGATGACGATGATAACAATGATGATGGTGATGCCATGATTACTGACTCGACTCTAAAACCGAATGAATCAAACCCGAAAGAAGGAGATTCACATCACAACAAATCTTCACATTCAAATGATACTAAAAAAGATCATGCTGACCCGAGTCTGAGAGCAGCCAGCGGTGGAAATGTGGATGCATCGCTCGGTGCGAGACATGACGACTCCGGTCACAAGGAATTGCATGCACAAGAATGTTATGTTCCTTCGGCAGACAACCTTAGCACGGCAGTCATCCTTTCAGCCCTAGGAAAGCTAAGCGATGAGAATGCTACAAATTTCAAGGAGTTAAGGAAAACTATTCGTCATACAAAAAGGGCAAGTGTAGAAGCAAAAGAGTGTGTTTCCTCTTAAGGAAAAGCGACCCGAGATCAAATCTCTGCACGAAACTACTCTCTTGAACGTGCCACACTTACTTCTCTAATCTCCACAAATTCCATGGTGAGTGGCATTGCCAAATAAATGGCACAATTATTTCAAGATGTGAGCGTGCTTAAATCAAATCAACTCACCATTGAGCAAAATCAAGAGAAGATCATGAAGGAGCAGCACTACATGAAGCATTCCAACTTTAATCTCAAAGAAAGGGTCGATCTTGCATGCACCAAGACAGACATGGTTCACGATGATTTGTTCACAGTTGGAGCTAATCAGATGGCTACTCTCAACTACGTCAAAGAGATCCTACTTACTCTTCAAACTCTTCCTCAGTCATTAAACTCTGCACCTGATGATGCCAAAAAGGGGGAAAATAGAGACAAAGATGACAGGGGGAACGAAAGGAGGGACAGAGACGAAAGGAGAGACCGAAGCAATCCAAGTCATGGAGGAAATTCAAGCAGACCAATGTATACCCGCTCTTCCAATCCTCAGTCATCTCGAGGTAATCCTAAAAACAGTTATAGGCAAAGGCAACAACTTCGTCAGAAATGGATGCGCAACAAATCAATAACGAGAGATGCAGAAGGAAACTTTCTTCCTTTTGAACCCTACAAAGTAGGTAGTAGAAAGCGTTTTGAAGGCTGCAACATACCCATACAGCTGAAAGGAAAAGATAATCAGGTCAGACAAGAGTATCTACGAAACAAAAACAAAGAGATTAGAGAAGAAAATGAAAGATTGCGTCTTGAAGAAGAAAAAACCAAGAAGAAGAGGGAACAATACCTCAAGTATTTTCAAGAAGTGCAAGAGAAGATAAAGGATCTAAAGGCCATTGGAAAAGATGCTGATATGGCTGCCAAACATAGTGCCGTCTTCAAAATCCATGAAGAATCAGGCAAAAGCTATGTAGAAGGAATGAACTCCATAGAACTAGTCTTTTGGTGGAACAATGGAGTAATTCCAAGCCGAAACATCCTCGAAGCATATAATAACTACATGAGCTATACACTGACAGAGAAATATGCAGAAGTAGCCCGAGACAAAGACATTCAAGCATTCAGGAAAATCATAAATGACGAACTTGATTACAAGAAGATGCTCAAAGATAGGGAAGCCGAGGAGAAGGAGATCCAAAGAGAAGAAGCTCGATAGAAAGAAAAATTGCCGAATATGTAATATATAGATATTTTTTTTGTAATATGAATCTAATGTGAATGAAGTCTATCTTTTTGCGAGTTGCAATAAGGTCTTTTAAATGTCTTATTTACTTAGATCTTCTTGTAAACTCAACTATATGGCTGTTTTGTAATTAAAATCCTTTCTTGGATAATTTCAGCCTGATAGCGAGAGTGTAGGTTTTAGCATCATCAAAAAGGGGGAAATTGTTAGGAACATGTGTAATTAGATTTTGATGATACCAAACTCACTAGGAAATTAGACCCCTATTTTCTCTCGATTATTTTGTATCTTTCGTGTTGAACGAAAGTTGCTTTTGCTCAAAGAATGATTCGTGCTCAGCTGAGTATATACACGAATTAGAGTATCACTTAGTCAATCATGACAGGTTGAAGAGAAGAGAAGATCAAGAGAAGGCCGAGAGATCCGCTAAGACCGAAACTTGGAAGGGTCAATCTCTCGTGTAATTGACAAATGATAAAGAAAGATCATTTGAATTGAGAAGACAACGAATGATAAGGACAATCCTTCGTTATCAGATCCCGAGACTACGAGTCAAGGTCTGACTCGATTGGACAAATTCCACATTTTTCAGAAGCATATTTGTCCAAGTCTCAATGATGGGAAAATCATCCTACACAAATGGTGTCCTAAGAATGATATTTCAAATATCAATGAGCATTTAATGATTAGAACATTTTGTCTTCACTACAAGAAAAAATGGTTGGTTGCTTTTAGAAGCCAACGGTTATACAATACAGCCACATTTAAGTCTCCTTACCTAGCGGTCATTACATGCTGGTTAATAGGTTTGAAATTTTCATCTCCCTCTAACGGATGGATTTTTCACCCCTATAAATACCCCTCTTCATCACTTGAAGAAGGTGCTGGTTTAGTGATCAAGGAAGCAAGCTTGGCTTAGTTTGTACTAGGAGTGATAGTGCAAACCCTTTCACGAGTTGTGAAAGAAGAGTGGAGTAGGCTTAGTTAACAGCCGAATCACTATAAAAATCTCTCTCTCTCTCTCTCTCTCTCTCTCTCTCTCTCTCTCTTGTTACTTATCTACATTTAACTGCCTTGCATTGCATACATATTCATCTCAGTTAAGCAATTTCTAACGAAAGTGTGCAAAGAATATTAAAAAGAACACATAATTTTCGCTGTGCATTACTCTTTCAAGTAAAGGTTTAAAAATCGCATAGAGTCTATTAACCCCCCCCCCCCCCTCCCACCCGACTCTCATCCTTAGGTATCGGGACCAACACACGACTATTGTTTTTTTTTTTTTTTTTTTTTTCTTTTTTTTTTTTTTACAAAAATGGTCCTTCCATCCCATTTTTCGTCAATTTCTCACCAGAGTAAGAACCATTTCCGACCAAAACGGGCTGGAAAATTGACGGAAAATGGACCAGAAGGACAATTTTTGCAAAAAAAAAAAAACAATAGTCATAGTCCGAAATTGCAAGTTTTGAAAGTTGTGGATCAATCCTGATAATGCCGCTATAGTTGTGGGACCAAAAGTGTCAAAAACGCATCTTTTATTCGATAAAGATAACATAAAGAAAAAAAAAATTTTTGTGATATTTACAAAAATGCCACTACAAATCACTAACTAGAAAACCTATAACTTTCCATTTACAACCCCCATCTTCGAAACTAAAAACTACATTAAACATCCGCACACCCAAACTCAAACCTTCGGATCAACTGCTCTATCGTCGGAAAACATCGACCCATGCAAAACTGCACAAACATACAAAACAATGGCAGACGAACAACACTAACGTAAAAAACGACGCCAACAACGCCAAAAAAACCAGCTCGAGAATCATGCTTCAAACCACATTGGTTACTACTATTTTCGTTTGCATTGCTATCGTCCATGGTGACAAAATTAAGGTGAAGTGCACATGACTCCCCAACTGACCATCAAGTAGTATTGATTGGGTCGTCGCCATTAATACAATTGTGTTAGGAAAAACATAACAAAAATACACTAAAAAACACTATTAGGTACGCATCACCAAACACGCACCATTGAATATGCATAAAAGCACCACACAGTGTTCATAAATGCACAATTAAGTGTGGGGAGGTATGGTGCATTTTTTTTGGGTATGTTGTGTATTCTTGTGGTGTATTTGTGCTTTCATTGTTGTGCATTTTTCTAACATTATTGGTGCATTTTTTAACACTATTGGTGTCTTTTTTAAGCGGCCGCACCGACCGCATGTTAAGGCGTGACCGCATTTGAGCAGAATATATGTATATATATATATATATATATATATATATATATATATATATATATATATATATATATATATATATATATATATATATATATATATAAACTATTTTTTTACAATAAAAATTTTTTAAGGGCTCCTAAAATTGGGGCCTAATTTTATTTATTTGAATATGCAATATAGCTAATGCTTATGATGGCATCCCCATTAGGGGAATTTTGCACATATTTTAAGAAAAAGTTGATGTGTTGGAGGAGAGAGGAGAGGGAGGGTTGGGGTTGTTAGGTTATTTAAAGGATTTTGTCATAATTTTGGGGATTTTGGGAGGGGGGGGGGGGGGGGTTAGGGTTTTCAGTTTTTTATTTTTCCTTTTTTTTTTTTTTCCTTTTCATTCAATTCTCTTTCCTAATCGCACCTGCAAAATCTCCTTAAAATCATACCACTATTGAGGATGCCCTGAGTATGAGCTCCATGAGTGTAACGTCTGTAAGATACTTATATTGTGGACCTAGTTCCACCTTGCAACGTGAACTCTAGTATAAAACGACGTCGTTTTGTTTCAAAATGACGCCGTCTGAATTTTTAAAAAGAATTGTTTCCTTCCTTGCCGTTAACTTAAAGTTTGTCTTCAGAATTCGTTCATCTATATTCACAATTTTTGAACTCTATATGCATAATTTTAGAACTGAATATTCATAATTTGATATCTAAATATACAAAATTACAGAACTCAATATTCACAATTGTAGAGAACCCTATATTCACAATTTTAGCTTAGGACTCTATATTCACAAATTTATTAGAACTGAATATTCACAATTTTAGATCTCAATATACAAAATTACTGAACTCAATATTCACAATTGCAGAACTCTATATTCATAATTTTTTAACTCTATATTCCTAATTTCATAACTCTATATTCACTATTACAGAAATGAATATTCACTCTCTGAATTGTTTTCAATAAATAAATAAAAAAAATCATTGGCTGTAGAAACGGTGCCACTAACGGCTTCGTTATTTTCACACGCGCAAACTGCGTCGTTTTGGACCTGGGTCCACCTTCCTTGCAAGGTGGACCCGGGTCCATGACATAATAATTGCATGACTCTATCCAAATGTATGCACTATGCAGTACGCTGTACGCATATAATAAATGTTTTTTTTTTTTAAAGATGGGGCCCGCAAATTTTTAGGGCCTTGTGCCAACGCCACGGGCGCATTTGCTGAGGGCCAACACTGCCTAGAGCCTAGAGCGCCTAAGCGGCTTCTAGGAAGACGAGTAATTCGAATATATTGTCACCACTGCACTTTTCTCACTCGGAGCTGTTTGTTATTAAATTATTATAATCCCAAACTAGTCAACTACATATGTTACATGGTCATTTGAGTAAATGGTTGGAGGAATATATATAGAAGATGAGAACAGCCGAGCAGGCAATAAAAAAATCACTCGCCCAAGTTGAGTGTTAACTCTACCAAGTTAGGTGTTAACTCAGCCGAGTTGGGCGCTGACTCGGCCGAGTTAGGCCCCAACTTAGTGCT